TAAAAAATTCTTCTAGTACCTTAAAAAGGCCATAAATTGATAAAAATGAAGTAGATTAGATAAATATTTAATATAATCAATTCTAAGATGAAATTAAGAATATAATTATGCTAAAAATCCTTAAGAAAGGTTGAATTGATATCCAAACAATGATCTTTTGTAGGTCAGGATGAAAATTAGACCTTTAGCTACTAAAACAATTGCTTAGGATAAAATAGGATGAATTTTAGATATTGAAGAGTTGAATTGCAGAGTTAGCTTTAAGCTTCTTTCAAAATTATAAAGCTTACTTTCATAGGTTTTGAGATGACTTTGCAATCATTGTATAAAGTTAGGATTTATATTGGTGACTTTGAATTTTTGCAATAAAATTAGAGCTAGCACTATTGACTAGTTTGTGAAATATGTATGATATCTATAATTTAAATTTCATTAATATATAGTTGAATAAATGTGCTAATTGTAGATGAAATTTTTTATTATTTTAATAGTGCCATTGAAATATATTCAATTATTGATGCAAGGAAGTACTAAAATTTGGTAGTTTATGATCAAGTAGGATATTTGCAATATCTAAAGATTTACTTTTTAGAACGAGGAAAAATTTGTCATAATTTTAGTAGACTAATATATCAAGCTATACACCAATTTGGAATTGAAGTTAACAGTTAGAGACAAAGAAATTGTTGCTCAAAATTCATCATCAATCTTTAGCCTAGTAGCCAAGGAACATCAATATGGTTCTTTTGTATTTTTTTCATAATTTATAAGTTGGATTATATTAAAATTTAAGATTTTTCTTTTAATATTTTTTAAAGATTCTTATTATTTTTCTAAGATTTTTATTTTAATATTCATTTAGGATTTTTGTATTATCTTTTTTTGAGATTAATTTATGAATTTTTTATATTTCTATACTATTTTTAAAAAAAATTATTTTAAATTGATTAAAATTTGATTAGATTTATTAACGATTAATTAGAATTTATTCAAGATTTTATTAGATTTGATAGGAACTTATTGTTATATTTTTTATTTATCTTCTATAATTAGGTACTTAGTATATTTTTAATCAAGAATTCATATTATATAACAATGTAATATATGGTTTTTCATCTTTTGTTCTAAAATTAAATATTTATGAGATTACTAAATTTTGATGGATCTCATTTCATAAAAAAATTTCAAGTGGCAGGTAGATGCAATAGTTGGCATTTGCCATCCAAAGTTGATTGTGAGCACATCTAATATTTTTAAAGCTGCCAAAATTAATGCCTTTGTAAAAAAATGTAGTGACATTATATAATAATTTAGAGACTTTGTTCAACTTGCACCACTATCTACCCCATTATATTTGAAATTACAATGAGATCAGTGCATAAGTAGGTAATTTACCACCTCTCACTTTATTTTGCTTATCCTTCAAGTTCATAAATATTTATTTTTAATTTATTTACATTAAATTTTTTTTGTTAAATTTTAATATATCTTTTATTTTTTTTTCTCAATATATTTTTTTAATTTTTTTTTATCTTTTAATTTCTACTTTCTTATTTTAGTACTACAATAAGTTTAATTTATTTTGGTTGACTATACAACAGGGCCTATGCACTAGATATGTATGTATATGAGGGCATATTATTGGTTGCTTGTTACAAGATCTAATCTCAAGTTCATAAGTTAACTTTTGGTCTAGAATATAAAGTCATGTTGCTCCCATCAAGTTTCAAACAAACTTACAAAATATAACTTATCACTAATTTGATTTAACCTCTTTTAATTAAAATAATAATAATAATAGAATCAATTCTTATAAAAAATAAATTTTAATTTTTAGAAACAACAAGACTAAATATGCATGTACACAAGAAGGTAGGATATTTAAAAAAGAGTAGTGGCAAGATGGTCATTGCAAAATTTGGCTTGTATTACATATAATCTATAGTGTCTGACAAATAGAAGTGGTTGTCTTGTCTTATTGTAGTGAATGCCTTTGATAAGGCCATACATTCTTTTTATATTTTTTATAGAAAGTGATTTTATATAAATTATATAGAGAAGTAAAAACCTAAGGTAACTATATTTATGCAATTCTAGACTTGGATGATTTCATATTTGTTTTTAACATGGATCATTCATTTTGTAGAATGTATTTACCAAAGAGATGAGATTTCTATGAAAAAATGCCACTCATGGGTGCTTGATAGGCACAACAACCACATTATGTTCCAACTTGCCTAATTTACTAGCAATATTGGCTTCAATGTTGTGAATTTTCCATCCTATACCTCCCATTAGTTACACCCTTAAGATATATTGGTTTTTAAATCATTCAAGGAATTCTTCTATCAATATAAAAACTATTAGATGTTGTGAAATTTAAATAGATCTATAATAAAGGACATATTGATATAATAGGTCTTTCTTGCATTGCAAAAGGTACTAATTACATTAAATATTTAAAATAGCTTTCTTACTACAAGCATTTATTTATTAGATAGGAAGGTCATAAAAAAGTACATAGAATCATTTAAAATCTATACAAATGCCTCCACAAATGCTTTTCTTCAAGGTGATGGTATTTTAGAGCAAGTGGAAGGAAGTGATGCCATACACTCATCAATTGTATTGGATGAGAAGCAGCTCAAGTAAGGCTTTGGATAATAGTTAAATACTATAAATAGTTATTTTTTTGTACAAAATTCTCAAGTAAGTAATCCAAAAGTGAATAATAAGGGACATGAAGCATAAGATTAAAGAAAAGGAAAAAAAAAAAAAAAAAAAAAAAAAAAACTCAGGATGAGAATTAGGAGTCGACAATATAATTCTTGAATTTTCCTTGTATTACTCAATTGAATTAGCAATAATGTGATTCAATAATAGATTTTATAAAAACTATCATATTCACCTCACATAAATATGAAAAAGTAGCAAATTTAGTGACACTTCTAATACAAGGCTCTACAAGCAAAAAAAGATTATCAAAGAAAAGAGAAAAAAAAGAGTTAAAAATAAAAGCAAGTAAAGCGAAAAAAATAAAAAAATAAAAAAAATAAAAAACTAATATATGAAGCACGGTAGAGTAAATAGTGTAGATTCGACAATAGAAGCTACAAGCCACAGAGAAGGCCATTCTCTAAGTATATTGAAATGCTGAAAAAGAAACAAAAGTATACAAAGAAATTACCTACTTGAGAGGTTACTCTAGCTCAAAATATAAAAGCAATCAAGCAAAAAAAAATTGTGGTGGAGAGGTACAAAATTTGCACAATGAGGACAATAGAAAGTGTACATGGATGCCAAACAATGTTGTTAAGATATACACCATCTAACCAAGTATGTGTCAAAGAACTAAGCTACGACTAATTCTAATTTTTGACTTCAATACTGCTATTTGGACCATCAATAGAAGTAGCAAAGAGAAGGAGGGTGTTTTGATGGCTTGAATCATTTAATAGTTAAATTGTAGGCATTGATGTATATTTTGCCCATCTTAAGTATACAATTTGGTTGTTATTAGTGGTTTGTTGTTTTAATTGATATACTTATTACATCTTATATTTTTTTAAATTAAATTTATTATATTATTTACTTATTCATTTATTTGAGAAAATAAATTTTAGATTTTTTATAAACTTCAAATAATATTAGAGTTTTATAAGAATAGAGCATGATATTTGTTTATATCAATTTATAAATTTATTTATAATAAATATAATTAATAATTATATTAAATTATATAATAATGAAAATATTTATTTTATAAAAAAGATTTTACTACTAAATTATATTATCTATTTTGAAATATTTATAAATTTTATCTATATTTATAAAATATTAAAAATTAAAATTTTAAACATTATATAAAAGATACTCAATACATATACTAAGTAAAAAAAAGTGAAGAGACTTAAATGAAGACTAAATTATAAGACATGCTTTCACAAGACTAAAGATGACCTTAATCTTACAATACGTATATTATTTTAATGAAAAGCTATATAAAAATTTCTTAAAGACTACATTTCTTAAGGACTACGTGTTCAAGTTGTAAGGTGCTTCATTTGAAGCTCTTTGATCAAAAGAATATATATATATATATATATAAGAGAAGTTTTTGTAGATACATGATACATCTTAAAATACTAAAAAAATCAACTTATGTTTACACAACTTTTACAATGTTTCACAAAAAAAACATTATGAATCTAACTTATTTCTCTTTAATTTTTTTATTTGTTCTAGTACTATATGTGTTTGTAATACTAAAAATTCCCAATAATACAACTAATTAATTTATTAAATCTTAGAAGTTTAGATTTAAATAGGTATATGCTGCAATTTTCTATACTTTTCTATGCCAATATGTCACAAGTTTTATGCACCATGACAAAATTCTACTTGTCTTTTTAATGCAATAGATTTTTTTGAAAAAAATATCTTTACACGATATTATATATATATATATATATATATATCAATATCAAATGATAAAATTTAACAAACACTAAGTAAATGTGCTAAAATATGCAAGAATTTAGAAGCTAAACAAAAACATAGATTCTAAAGAAGGTTTGAAAAGATCTAGACAACCTCAAATTTGCCTAAAGCAATGTAATTCCAAAAGGGTACAGATAAAAACGAACCATAGTTGTGAGTTAGAATGAAAAAAATGCTTTCATTCTTTTTTCTGTTTCACTTTGAAAACATATTATTATTTCTCTAGCAAAGATGTTATGCATAAAACACCTCGCAGCAATCTACACACTTAACCCTAAACTGAAACATTTATACAGGATAGAATTGCTGACTGTCATGCTCAAGCTGCAGCATTATTTATCCCTTCATGCATGCATGCATGCACTTCACGAACATGCCGGTCAGTCGAGGATTGGCGACCTGTCAAGTACAGCTACTCAACATTCGAAAGGTACAGCCAAGCGAATGAGGACCGAGGAAAAATATGCATGACGTATGGTCTAATAAAGTTGGAGCACATGTGACGGCTGAATAAGGGGAGGTCTATTCACTGTCACTGAATCTATTTGAAAGACAGGACAAACAGCCTGGAACTCATGCAAATAATTGCAAATAGTCAAGAATTTAAACCAACGCTCTAAGGAACTCGTCATGAAGACGCAGCAACTCATCTGCAGGATACGTGATGGAAATAGGACAAATTTTATAACGCATCCCCACTATTATCCATATTCAGGTAAGAGCTCTCAGAGTTTACTGTCCAGGTAAAGAGTAGAAGTAGCGTACGTACATTAACCTGATACGCTCAACCAAGACAACATTCGAGAGCTTGCACCAGAGTAACACTGTCTGTAATATACCAGTCCAAAAGTTCATGACAGTGAAGATCTTCAAAAGCGCCGCTAATAGTCATGCAACGCTGACGCCGAACTTCGAAGTTGCTTCTCTCTTGCGTTCTTAATATCAAATGAATCTCTGAACAAAAAACGATTCACATGGCAAGAGGGCGAAACCTTTTGTCACTATTAGGCTTTCAATATCTCTTGGGAGCTCGACTCAATAGTGCATTTGTATTTACCGACCGTGCTTCTGTATGAAACACATTGTAACACCTATTCTTCAGCCCCAGGCAAAATTCGTCTATTTCCCTCTTTCTATCACGGGTTTTGAATTGTCACGTCCTTCAAAGTACAATTTTGTGAAAGTACAATTTTACTTTCAAATAGATTCAGTGACAGTGAATAGACTTCTAACACAACCACCTAAACTACGACTTATCTTGAAAGTATGGTAATTTCTTCACACTGGCTATGGACTGAACGTTACGTGGACACAAATGCACTAGAACTTTAATCTACGTGTATGATGTCGAAGAGTAGCACCTTGTGTTGCAGCAACCTTTTCAGCAAACTAAGTCCAGTGTTAGAGTCTAGAATTTTTTAAATAAAAATAAAAAATAGAAACAGAATACAAACATAATCATTTGGAAAAACCAGATTAGATTTCAGTATGTATCCTTGCTTGATCCGCAGTGAGCGTGCAGTTTCCGAGGCAAGTCAACCTCGACTCCACCCGCAAGCATGGAACTGGCTGGGCGTCAAATCCGAATCCAGGCGATAGCTCACGGTCAGGCTCTTTGAAGTTATAGATATTGTTTATGAATTCTCCCCCGGTTCTCATCCCACCAGAGTTTTGCTTGCTTCTCTGTAAATTTTTCACGGCTGCACCATCCAATCCACCGTGGAAAATCACAACATAAACCTTCCAAAAAACTAAAAACTATTCATAGGTGATGTGAATATGACAGACATTACGGTCAGTACATTAACTATTGACAATTTCAGATTTGAAAAGCTACATATTTAGTACAATATACGGTTATCATGGACAACCCAAAGAGAATATTTCTAGCAGTGCTGCAATAATTAGACAGAAAATCCACGTAAAAAGCTCGAACCTCATACTAGATTTACTTGAAAGTAATATTACTTAGGTTACTCGGATATTTGCAACAAAATTCCAATTTTATTTTTCTTGAATTTTCTATCATGGACTTCCTATAAAATAGACTTCAATATATCCCATTACCTGAACCTGACACGCTTCAACTCTCTCCCACCGCCGGCCAAATTCTTCAATGTTAAATATACACCAGGAACGTCTTCTTCAACCCAAGTAGTTTCTTCTCCGTCGAAAGTTCTGTCACTGCCTGCCTCACTCCCAGCAACGGTGTCTGTTTCGGTTGCTCTTTCGGTACAAGTTACAGATTCAGAGTGCTCGCTAACCGCATCCCTCATAGACTCTTTCATTGCTTCTCGAATCGAGGCTTCCCTCATTGCAGCCTCCCTGATTGAGGCTTCCCTGCTTGATGTGTCCCTCAAAGATGCTCCACGGGATATCCCAGAACCATAGCCAGCCGGAGAATTCCACATTGAAGCTCCCCGTGACCCCTGTGGACTATAGGCCGGGGTTGCATACCCTGAAACCCCTGATACCTGCTGAAGAATATACATATTTGTACATTTTAAACCATGCACACAGACACTGTCTGGGTTGTCTAGCTTAGACGAGCCTTCGTTCTAAAAATGCACATGAATAAGTTTCCCAGCTTCAAACCCAGCTTATCCCAATCAGATGCAACCATTGCCTACTGACTTCTGCATTACTTCTGTTGAACCTGGTAGAAGAGATTCCTTACAATCTAACTTGTTCCAACGATTAAGGAACAGTACCTCTTCTTCTGAATTTGAAGTGACTTGATGAACATTTGCTGTCGTTCTTTCGAAAGCAGGCACGTTGTAGGTTGCGCGGACACGATTTCCATTCTCCGCCCACCACGATTCAGCTTCTTTCTTACTAAAAATATCTCGACTGCAAAGAAGAAAATCAGATAACTAGTATGTTAATTAATCATCACAACATATTCAAAACGGTCATCAAACTTAGTCTAGCCTGTCTTCATTCGTAACCATTCACACATTCGCAACGAGAAAGGATAACTCAATTACATGGTTAATAATCATATTTACAGCCAAACTTCCACACAAATAGAGTATTTTTGGTACCAAAATCGAATTCGTTTCAGTGCGTTGCAACCGTTGGACAGAGTCACGAATGTAATGAATACTCCAAGCTCTACTTGTGAAAACCATTCTGTGCCAGGAACACCCGGCCCCGTCGGAACTAGACGATTCGAAATTCGAGGCTCCTCAGGAATCTTCTCAGCAGTACCATTCACAATACGGAATGTTGGACAGTTCGGGCTTTCATTTGCTACGCTGGAAGGGATGCTCTGCAAACAATGGTATCACATGAGACGTCGCCAAGGCATCACCAAGTATCGCACTTGATTGAAAGCAACTGACGCTAGAATGATAGCAAGTTTAATGAAAATTGCAAAAACCTAATCATCGAACGTCACATTCCACTGATTGAACACCAGCTTGGCCTGGAAAAATCATACACAAAGTGTTTCCAAAGGTACTTCTGAAAGAAAATGGATTCGTACATTGATTTTGTGTTCCGGGGAGACCACTTGAGATGACCGCGCGGACTCTGGATCATCTCCATTATTACTTCCGGGTTTACTCTTGAGGTTTTCATGGTCATCTTTCAACGCATTAGGACTTCGAGGTTGAGCCACTGGTAGCAATGAATCGACAGCACTATAATTTCCCACCAAAGACTCTGGGTGGACAGCATGCGCAGCGTCTTGATCAGAAACAGAAGTTGAACAAGGCTTGCATGATGGTGTACAAGCTCCTGCTGTCAACTTAGCCGCCATTCCCTTAAACTGCAACACAGATCAGTGCCAATACAGGAAATAATCATAAAAAAAGAACATGAAAAATGAAAAATGAATAACAAAACACCAGACCCATTCGCTCGAAAACTGACATTCAGATTCAGATTTGAGATAGATCGAGGAACGTTTTGTTCTGGCTATTCTTGGGAAAAGGTTGCAGCTGGCTAACTCCCGAGTTCTTAAAGTTCTGACTTACTGTCATGTTATCAGCATATTCGGAAGATATCTCATCGAAACTAACGTTTTTTCCAAGTTAATATACTAGTAAGCTATCTCCACATCGCAGTACACAAAATTGAAGTTACAGGAAAGATCACGGAATCTGGCTAAACAATCACCTATCGCAGATTCGCACAAAGGCTGCCAAACCCATACAGAAGTGTCTCAGCAGAACAATGACGCAACCTTTTAAAATTCTTCTATGTTGAATCTACAGAAAGTCCCGTCACACAATGTAACCGCATTACAATAGACAGTGTAACCGCATTTTTTGAGCAGAGAAAACCTACATCAGAGGATCGTAATGGTGCCATTGAGCATTGTAGCGCTGCAAAAAAACTTTTCCAGCCTTTTCCAATAGGTCTCCCGGACGCGACATCTTCCTGTCTCTCAGCCAAAGAACTTCCATCAAGTGGCTTAGCTTTGGGCGGACTTGCATCAGTTGGACCTGCTTGGGGTGAACTTGCTTGCGGTGTAGGCATGCATTGGTTTCCTTGGCTTTTAAAAGACCAAGACGGATGAATCAGGGTCTGGCAAGTGAACGACTTCATTTTGCGCAAGTCTGATTTGGACTCCGGTTTCGACGACGTCTTCTGTTGCTCATATTTGGCTTCAACGGTCTCTTCCAGAGTCTTCGAACTCATGCAAACCAACATTTTGACAGCCATTGTGCTTGGCAAGGCCTTGGAAAGGATCCTGATATACTTCTGAGGGGATCCGTTTAACTACTACACAGGACCACTTAACAGAACAGAAGGAATTTTTCAAGCGTCTCGCTACAAAGAATTCAAGCTTATGAATGATCTTGTAAAACCATAAGCTCGTTCAAACATTGCATAATCCTGGAGAAAAGAAAAGCTTCATGTTGCAGTAAATGCTCGAAACGTGATACAGAAAGAATGTCCAGTCGAGTGTTTCACTGACGATACCCCACGCGTTCTACTATCTCATTTCAAACGTTGGATAAGTGCGCAAATCCTCAGAAAGTCTATCTTCTTCTCAGCGCAACTTTGACTGATTTTATCAAAAGCTCAACAAGCTTCACCAACACCACTGTGATCCTCAACAGCATTCCCGCAACGCTTCACGTGTCCACAAAACGCGACGCTCTACGACAATCCCAATCCCAGATCATTGCCAGGCACCTTTCGAGCAAGCTTCACCACTTCCCCGCTTGCGCTACCAGATCTATCGTCTTCACGCAATCTCATGATTTACGATGCTGCGCCACGACCACGGCAGCACATGCACTCCCCGCCCTCCCCCCCCCCCCCTACACCAACACCACCGCGAACATTCCATGTCGCAATAAACGTCCCGCCATCGCCATGGCATAACACGAAACAGAATCAACAATTCACGATCGAAAACACTCCCAGAAACTTGCTAAAGCACCTCAAGATTGTAGAATGTCCACAAATGGCTGTCTAGACGGTCGCGAGGACGACGAGGAGGTAGTATCGGGAACTCTTAGGGGACTTTGAGGGGAACACTGTGGCGAGAGGCGGGTTCCCACGTTCTCCGCACTAAACGCCAGAGGCGCGGTAGCACTTACAGGGCCCGTGACGGGATGGCAGCGAATGGGGGTGAGCTAACTTTAAGCCCAGACCGTTATTTTTGTATAGGCGGAGACTGAATCAGACTTGGTCGTTTATAGGGCCATGCTCGTGGTTTGAGGCGGATTTCAAGATGTGGAACTCTCCCACGAGGGGGAAAAGAGGGGGCTCATTTTTAGGGTTTGGGGGGGGAGGGAGGGTTATGGTGCTGCTGTTTTTGTGGTTCCCTTCAATGCCGAAACAATGATTTTCTGGCCCTGCTGCAAATATCCCATTTGATTGCAACGAACCCATCTCTGCACCTACTTGTCATAAATGGCAGTAGCTTTTGTCTTTTAGGGTGTTGAGGTTTGTGGGCTCGCTGTCTCCTTTGGTGCATCTCTTTGAAACACTTGGTCAGAAGTCTCTTGCACTTTGATAAAAACAAGCGTGTCCGTGGTTTGAGCTGAGGAAGCTTTTTCCCAAAGAGGCACACGGGCAGCTCATTTTTTGTTTCTTTGGTGACTTTGTCTTTTCCTGCAAAGACTGAGTTTAGATGTTGTGGTAGAGAGCTGTTAACTGTTGCGTTTCACTAGCTGACGAGAGTTCCATTCTCTGTTCCACGTCAAGTTTACTCAAACAAAACTCAGATCTTACATGATTGAAAGTTTTAACAAATATGATACTAGTTAAGGCTGTTCATTCAATAAAAATAATGTGTGGTGTTAATCATGATGCAATTTATTATCCTTCTGTGCTAAAAGAATTATTACCGAGCCATGCCAAAGACCCAACTTAAATCACCCATTGCAAACCAATAACCAACATGTCATACAATTTTGCAGATTTTGGTGATAGCTTGGAAAATATCAAGGTGGTTTGAAGGACTTAGGAAAATCTAATGACCTTGTGTGTATATCAATTAACAATCAAGTTGTTTTCTTAACTTAATGTTAGATTTTATGCATCAATAATGGATAAGAAAATGATAATCATCATAGCAAACATAAAATTGTAAAGAGTTTTTCATAGTTTTGACAAAGTCTTAAGGATTGGAATAAAAACTAATTAAATTAATAAAAATAAAAAACTTTAATAAGATCTACTTGTATTGTAACTAATAGAAACAACAATATTGCAATAGAGAATTGAAGAATTTATCTCCTATTAAGCACTAGGTAAAAATTTTAATACCACAAATATAAATCATTTGATTTAACACACATATATGTAGTATATAAGATATATTATCAATAACAAGTCTTATTTTTTATTTTAAATAATCTTGATATTAAAACTATAGTAATATAAAAATAAACTTTATAAGATAATAATATTTTTAATATATATAAATAATAAAATATTATATACTTATGTTATTAAAAAAAATATAATATTGTATCATAAAAATAATTAAAAATATATATTAAACTTTGTAAAACTATCATGTATACAAATAAAATATTATAATATAATTTATTTTAAAAACATGAATATAAAAATATTTTTTTAATTTGGTAAAATTTATGTAAATAAAAACATATATATATATATATATATATAAAATTCTAAAATAATAAAGAAAATAATAATTATTATTCAATATAAAGAAATTATAAAATCTTAAATTTACACTATGATATAAGAAAAATATTGATAAGATTAATGATATCTCTAATATTATACCTATATATATACTAATTAACAAAAAGATCACACAAAAACTTTTTAAAGAGTAAAAAGTTTGTAAACCAAATTTTGAAGGTATTGGGGTTTTGTTATAAAAGCATGTTAAACCTAAGTAAATTCTATAAAACTATATATATATATATATATATATATACACAAACTGATTCAATTTACTGCCAAAGAACTTCCAACATATTATCAAATTTAGGATTGTTTTATATATAATCAAGATAAAGCCAAACTTATTCTTAATGAAAATAAATAAATAAATAAATAAACTTATACTAGATTTTTATTTATTTATTATGATTTAAATAGATATTTTGTAAAACTTTAAAGTAAAAATTAATGTTCATGAATACAAAAAATAACAACTTTCAGAGTATTATTTTAAAGAAGATATAAAAAATAGAATAGCCATATGTTTTTATTTTCTATTTGAATAAAATAAATATTTATTTTAACGTTGTCACATATAACATTTTTATATCAAAATCATAAAAGATATTTTAAATTAATATTTTTATTTGATCTAGATATAATTTTTATTTATAGGATAATAACAAAGTATCTAACTCTAGAGAGTAGAAAAAGAATAATAAAGTATTTACTTCTAAATAGTGAAAAAACAAATACCACAAAATTATTTTAGATTTTATATCTTGATTTTTTTAGATATTTAATCATTACACTTGTAAGAAGAAGTTAGTGCATTCTTTCCTATATCTATAACTATTTAAAGAGATTTTGGATTTATCTATTTAAGTTAAAAAAATGAGTATTTTATTAAGTTTAAAGATTTCAAAGATCTTATAGATAAGAAGTTAGATTAGAAGATTGAAGTTTAATATGCAAAATATAAATGAATGAATATCTCTCTCTCTCTCTCTCTCTCTCTCTATATATATATATATATATATATATATATATATATATTGATATATATTTAAATTTAAAGATAAAAATATTTGATACTATTTATCTTATAATATAATTAAATTAAAAAGCATAATAACATACTACAAAAAATGATTTGGAGTGTATTTCATGCTTAATATCTAGGGTTTGTTTTTTGTTTATTGTTTTTGTTTTTTTTAAAGGTGAATGTGATGTATGCTTATAATAACTATCTTATAAGAGATATTGCATGAATAAAAACTAAAGAAATATAGAATACGAAAAATTTATATTTTGTATATGAAAAGATAGTTTGTATAGATTCCAAACTTAACATTAACAATACCAAGATTTATTCCTTACATATTATAATAAAATCAATATTATCATACTTACATATATTAAAAAATTAGTAGATTATTAAAATTTAGAATATTAAGTATTCAAAGCTTTAAAATGCTTGTGACTATTTAAAGATGTGTCTAAATAAGAATAATTATGTTATTACAAATGTAGCCTTTAATTATTTTGATTAAGCTAAATATGAGGTTTTCAATGCAAACAAATAAGGCAATAAGCATGTTGTTTTAAAACTAATATCTTAATGCCTTTGAAGATAAATATATCTATATATATATATATACTTTATATAGATGATAGTACCAAAACACATAAAAGAAATGCATCAATTTTACCAATCTTCAAAAATAATATCATATTCTAAAGAGAGAAAAAATAAGCTAGAAGATAATTTAAAAATCACATTATTTTTAAACTACAAGAAGAATAAAAAAATCCAATTTTTTTCTAATTTATTTTAAAAAATCAATTCAATAAATAAAATAAGAATAAAAATAAGAAAAAAAATCTTTTATAGGTGGTTGACATAATAACTAATTTAATTACCTTTAAATCATATAAGTTTTTAATAGGATTTTAGTATCAATATATATATATATATATATATATATATATATATACATAAGATAATATTAATAGTCAAAATATACTTCAAATTAATAAGCATTGATTTCAATGAATTATTTATGTTTACTGTTGTTAAAGACAATAATCTGATGAAAGCAAATAATTAAGTGAGACTTTTCTCAAAGAAATATGGCAAAATAGAAATAAAGAAACATGTATATTAAAAAGAAACTAGAATGGCTATTGCTAAAAGATAAAAATACTAAAGACTCTTGAATCTTGACTAGAGCAAGAAAAGAATTGACAAGAGTGAAGAAAGCTTCACTCTTGCCTCTATATATACTACCTACCTAAGAGCTACATAGAAATATTTTATAGGACCTCCAACATGTGTTGACTTTACAAGCCACATGTCTCAACTTGTAAGGCAAGTTTTTTATATGTGTGCCACATAGTTATTTTGTTCCATAATTTATTTACACATATAACACATGGTTAACTTGTTGACCAAGTTTTTAATCTAAAAGTTAATTAAAAATACATGTTATGTCAAAATTGAATCTATGAAGCTTCTAAATAACTTTGCTAGAAGATATTATATAATTAATCTATTTTTATTTAATTTTATCTACTTCTATCTAATTATATGAATAATTATTAGAGTAAGTATGTATGTCTATGACGTTTCCATCGCTTTTTGAGACAAGTTCCACAAAGCATGATTATCATATATTGAAAAAAATCTAAGATACAACAAATTATATTTGCTACATACTTTGATCTTTCTTGTCTTCAAAGATGGTTGATAGATCCTTTCAGCCATTGATAATGTCTCATACTAAGGTAGAAAGACCACCCTATTAGTTGATTCTTGTTGAGGCTTTTATTACTTTTTTCAAATAAGATATTTGAAACACTATTAAGAGTTGTTTCTACCTTTAATAAAATCACCAAAAATTAGAAGTCTCTTCTAAAGTCATGATACCAAACATGTTATTTTTGAAGATCTTCATCTTGATTATGTCATCATGAAGATTGAGACAATAGCAATGTCTCATCTAACAAGTCAACAAATGATATTTTTTGAGTTAAATCCGCTCATTGTTGGTTCTCCATGGCTATGAACGAGTTATTCTAATCTATTTTATTATTACTTTAAATCTAAGACTTCTTCCATCTCAAATTCTTCATTATTATCTACTTCTATAGAAAGAAG